AACACATATTCTAAAAATGTTCAAGTACTGAGTACTGAAGGTTGTATTTTGTCTTCTTTTTTTTTTTTTCTTTTTACTTTCTTTTTCTTTCTATCACATGGTTGTATTTTGTTGAAACTTAAACAAACTAAAGAGATTTCCAAGAGTCATACATTGGACTGGACTAACAGAGATGGGTTACTACTAAATTTTATTTAAACTCTCTCTTAGAAACCATATATGTATTGTCATCCAAAAAAGTAAAAAGAAGACTACAACAAAAAAAAAAAGAGGCAAAGTTACCTCGACATTCAGTGTTCTCTGTTTTTTTTTATTTTTTATTTACTGTATCTCCAACTCAGGAGGCATATATGGTAGCTAAAGCTCAAACTTATTAGAACTACATCCCCCAACACTGTAAACAAATAATAATTAATTGACATAGAACTAAGGTTTAAGTTCACTGAATTCCTTCTGATAATTACTATAAATTAACATAGAACTAGAGCAGGATCCTCTCCTCCATCATGTTCTTTACATCAAAGTATTCTTGGTCGATCTGATGGAAGTACTTGAACCGAGAGGAAGAGCTTAAAAATTGCAGTGGTCAACAAAACTGCGAGCAATATTGACAGACACTGTGAATGACTAGGACACCTCTACTAGGTTTAAATTCAGATCAACAACAGTTGGATGAACCCGATTCTTATGAAGAAGACTCCTCATTAGGTCGATTCTTCGATCAAATTTACAGCATCTTAATATAGTTCCAGATGTAGAAGCTTTTAACTACTTCTGGTATTAGCTATATGCTGATAACTTCTATCTGTTTATTGTTTTAAAAGATTGATATCTTGTGTATCTAAGAACTACCAAATGGAGCTATAACTTGCAATACGAAAGACATGCCTGCAAAAAAAATTTTGCTATAGATATGAAAGAAAAGCTTGTGCTCTAAATCTGTTATTTAGAACTTTCAGTCGGTCTGAAACAAACTGAACTTGGCAGCATTAATTTGTAAACTTCCTGATTATTTAAAATTCAAAAGCTTTTCAGTATGCAGAAATCTTATACAATAATCAGACAAAAAAATTACAGCAACACACAGAAGGAAAATCTAATGTGATAGGCCCAAAGCCGAGAATCCCAAACCCCAACCCAACCCGAGACAAGGAAGGAAAGGATTATTTGTAACTCAAAACAAAATAAAAAATTGCTATTAATTTGAACCGTGAAAAGAGGCTTTCTGGGAAGCAATTCCATAATGAATAGGATCGATTAGGAACTTTGTGCAAAATAAAGATATTGTGCAAAGTAACTAGGGATTTGTAACACAAAATAAAAAATATTACGGAAAAGGAAAAAACAACTAAAGATTTGTGTGAACATGTTAAAATACATAACAAAAATAGTGAGGAAATAGAATCGAAATCTCTTACCTGCCAAGAAAAATCAAAATATGTTGTTGATATTCAGGAACATGTGATAGATCAATAGGCTTTTGCTGCTCTTAACAAATTAGGGCACAAATTAATTGAGAGAGAAAGAGAATAAATAATTAGGAATAATCGAAGAAGGTATGGAATAAGAGAGAGAAATGGTATGGTTGCAGAGAGAAGGGGTTGCTGAGAGTCGGCATCTATGGATTACATAGAGAACGCGATATGGCCATGGGATTGGAGAGAGTTTTTGAGTTGAGGCTGCCGGGTTCAGAGAGTGTGTGCTGAAGAGTGAAGAAAGTGGGTTTTGTTAAAAACCCAAACGACGCAGTTTTTCTTTTCTTCAATTGTTATTTTATTTTTTTATTTGGTATTTATAAATGAAGAGAGACATGAATGATTGACACGTGTAGTATTAATTAGGCACGGAAAAACCTTTGTCCCTACACATCTATTTTCCGTCCCAAAATCCAATTTCACCAAATTTATTTTCCCCCTAAAATTGTTGGCGCGTTTTTTTTGTTTCCTTGAAATAGGAGAAGTTGTTGGCGTGCATTTTTTGGATTACTTGGGACGGCAAGTCTATTCCGTCCTAAAAACCTTCATTTTTGAGACGGAATTTAATCCATCCCAAATTACCTGTCCCATATGAACTTATTTCTTGTAGTGTTGATGTGCTTGGTGTTCTTCGCTTTTGGGTAGAGTTTCTGTATTTCTCTTTACAATTTTGGATTTCTGAATTCTGAATTTATGTCTGAATTTCTTGACCTTCTGGATTTCTGAATTTGTGTCTGAATTTTTGGACCTTCTCGATTTCTGAATTTGTGTGTCCTAGATTTTGAGTCTCTGAATTTCTAGACTTCTGAATTCTGAATTTCTGCACTTCTGAATTGATTTGTGTCCCTTCTGGATTTCTGAGTCTCTGGATTTCTGGACTCTGAATTTGTGTCTCTTCTAGATTTCTGAGTCTTTGAATTTCTGGACTCTAAATTTGTGTCCCCCTTCCTCCTTCCTCCAGGCATCTATTTATAGGCTTCTTGGATTAGTAGGATGATGACACGTGTCCTCTCTTGATAAAGAAAAAATCATAACTGGGCGGGCCGGTTATATTATAATAATTATCCTTAAAAATAATTATTCCAAATATATTTTATTATGTATAATTATCTTTCCATTTAATCATCTGGTTTGAGCTAATTAAATAATTTAAGTGGACCAAGTTTGGGCCAATTAAATAACTTAATTAAACATCAGGCCCATATTTAATAGGTCCATTTGTCAAAACCAAAGCCCACGAAAATTTTAGTGTCTACACTTGCGCCCGCATCTAATTGAATTTTCAATGATGCATTTTGAATTGAAATGCGTAAATAAGGGACTCGCTTATTAATTCTCTATAAATCTCCCAATTTTAAAGATCTCCTGAATTCTAAATAAGAGGGAGTTCTTGATACTAATTCAAATTCAATCAATGGGATTAAGTTTTTTTCCCAATTTGTTCTACCATAATACAAAGGCCATATTTGGTGTTAGTGAATGAAATCAAATGAAGTGGGAATAAAATGCTTTTGTTTTCATTCTTTAGTATGGTAACTAACTTTAAAGTTTGAATAATGATTCTTGTCCATTCTCCGAAAATAGTGATTCTCATCAATTCATTCCACTTTCAACTAAGGCCTAGTTTGGTGCGCAGGAATGGAATGAAATGGGAATGAAATGCAAGTGAGAATGGAATGAGAATAAGAATAGAATGGAATCGCAAATCTCATTCCACTGTTTGGTTATGATGCTGTAATGGAATGTTTATTACCATTCCAATGTTTGATTAAACTATCTTAAATCCTAGAATATAATGAATTTTTCCCAAAATACACCTGTAACTTATGACTCACATTAGTCTAACAAAAATCAACTCAAAAAGGGGAAAAAATTAAAACAAAAAATAAGTCTTAAACAATTACAAACTATAATTATTTAAGAAAAAAATTGTAGCTCAATTTTATTTTTGCAACATTTTCCAGAAAACTATTTAATTTAACCAAATGCATATTGAAATATATATATATACATATATATATATATATATATATATATATATATATCAACCAAACAGAAATTGAAGATCAAGTACAGAACTGAGAACCAGTGCCTAACCGGTAAACAGAAATTGAAAATCAAATATGCAGAAAACTATCAACCAAATTCCTATTGAAAAATATATATATATATATATATACACACACACACACACACATACACATATACATATACACACCAAACAGAAATTGGAAAAAGTATACATCAATCTAAATTTTTCCTATTACACAAACCTTGTCCTCGCCGTCTAAACTCGCTAGATTGATTTCTTTACAACAATTGTTAAACAAAATTTCAGTCATAACATAATCTAATACCCGATACAATCTCAGGGTAATTCCAATCGTCCATCTTGTCACTATGCTTGCATCAACGGGCTTCACAATCACCTTCATCAACATTTAATCCACCCACCACCAGATATGACAGCCCAACCACCTGCCTCCGGTGCCGGCAGTGATGGCCTCTTCGCCGGAGCTTGTCAATCTGGTATAGACATCTGTTATAGAGAGAGTTTTAAAGGAAGAGGAACGATGAGCGGCAGATCGAGAGGGAGAGAAGTGAAATATGGGCATGAGATATAGATAGAGAGTATAGAGTCAGTTATAGAGAGAAGTGATATAGAGAGATAAACTAGAGGCAGAGATAGGCGACGTGATATAGAGAGAGAGTAAATATTTGGGAATGATATACAGAGAGAGTAGAGAAGCAGAAGGAGGCCATGGAAGATTTCTAGGTTTCCAGCGTGATGTGTGAGAGTTGTTTAGGCTAAAAGGATTTTTTTGTCTTTAATTATTTTATTTTAACTTTAGTTGGGATTCTTGGAAATGGAATGGGCCATCCTTCATAAAGAGGAATGGTTTTGTTAGAATGGACATTCCCACGGAATGACTTGGAATGCTCATTCCACTTTTAATATGGCACACCAAATAAGAGAAAGGAATAAAAAAGTGGAATGCTCATTCCATTCTATTTTCATTCCATCACACCAATCTAGACCTAAAGGAATAACCATTCTATTCCTACTTAAAAAATAATAATAATAAATAAATAAATAAATAAAGCATTTAATGAAACATCGGCTACAAACATATATATATACATATACATATATATATATATATATATATATATGTTTTATAAAAATATAATATTTTTCTGTGCAACCAAACATGGGAATGAGAATGAAATGACCATTCTCATTTCCATTCTCATCCATTATCTGATTCATTCGATTCTCACTTTATTTCATTCAATCACATCAAACTAGCCCAAAAATCAAGAGGGTAGATGATTGATACAAAATCTAAAAGTAGTGGTACTAACTGAACAATTCTAGAAGCTTAGGGATGTTTCTGGTAAATAAATTCTAGAACATACCGTCCTCTTCAGCAATTAACCGTCATTTATTCAAGTGGCATGAGTAAGAACTCTCTAGAACTATCGAGATATCACCTTATCACGCTATATAACCACTTGTCGTTAACAGATTCGGTGCACCTTTCCTCTGATATTCGTTACATTTTCTTTGCGAATAACTCACTCAGTCTCCAAACGCTCCAAAATGTCGCTGATTCCACACATTTTCGGCCGCCGATCGAACGTGTACGATCCATTTTCTCTCGAGGTCTGGGATCCCTTCCAGGGATGGCCATTCGACAACAATTCCCGGTCAATTTCCGATCGGTTCAGCTCCAACTTCCCCTCTGAGACGGCATCGTTTGCTCACGCGAACATAGACTGGAAGGAGACTCCGACGGCTCACGTGTTCAAGGCGGATGTGCCGGGGCTGAAGAAGGAGGAGGTGAAGGTGGAGGTGGAGGACGACAAGATCCTCCACATAAGCGGCGAGAGGAACCGCGAGCAGGAGGAGAAGGGCGACGCCTGGCACCGCGTGGAGCGGAGCAGCGGCCGGTTCATGCGGCGGTTCAGGCTGCCGGAGAACGCCAAAGTCGATCAGGTGAAGGCGGCGATGGAGAACGGTGTGCTCACCGTGACGGTTCCGAAAGTGGAGGCCAAGACGACCGATGTGAAGTCCGTTGAAATTTCTGGCTGATTTATGTGAGTTGGAGTGGGCATATGTTTGTTAGGGTTTGGTGTGTAAATCCATGGGTTGGAATATCTGAATTTTGGTTTGTATCTGTAGATGCTTATGGCTTGAATATAATTAGGGAGTGAACTCTGTTCTCAACTTTATTTTGTAATTTGTAATTGTGTGTTGTATTTTTTTTTTTCGTACTAAATGTAGCTACAAATTAGTGGGATTGGTGTGGTTGAGGAATATATTGGAGTGAAAGTCACCTTATAAGACATTTAATTGAAATCCAAAATGACTACCAATTCAGAATTAATTCTAAACTTCTTAATTTAAGTCTAATTTGGTGGTGGTTTTAATTGACTTAAAACTGCAAATGTCTAAGGTGATTATTTTATTTTTCAATCAAAATTCAGTTCTCGTTTAGATTAATCAGTCTTAAGAACAGAAATTTTGTGGACATGCAAATGGTATATGAGATTCCTTTGTGCTTGTATGATTGCAGACTCATCTGCTCAAGGCTTTCCCAATTTTATTAATGAATTATCTTGCCTTTTCGTCAATACATAAATAAATAGTAAATAAACTCGAATCCATATTTTTAAAATTTTTCTACATTCACATACGGTTTGATGCCATTGTAACAAGATAGTCTCGTGCTCTGCCTCCCTGGCATCAATACAAAAATTATTAAATGACCTGAATCAATCTCTAAGTGACATACAAACAAATGTGGCTTTTGATGATGGGGATGATTCCAACAACACGGAAGGGGATGAATAGTTCAAAACATAGTTGTGAAAGGAACATCTAGGCTTCAAAAAAATTTCAGGCCCGTCAAGATTCAGTTGGAGTGTTTCAACTTATTATAGGCCGAATCAGACTAATTCTTTTTAGTAGGCTCCAACTTCAAAAAAAGGTGCACTTTATATTGTTTAATCATTTATACATACCATTTTTTTTTTTTTTATTGATTACTAAATTAAAAAGGTTCTATATTATATACTGTATTGTTTAATCTTATGAAATATTTGACAAAATTCATAAATTTATGGTTCGTTACTTACTTTAACTACAATTACAACTTGATTATGAATATATATAATAATATATGCATTATTATACACACACGCTTTACTTTGATCAGGCTCGCGCCCTTAGGCTCCAAGAGGCCTTCGGTGTCTTATTGCGCCTTGAGTTTTTAACAACTATTGTTCTAAATGTGTCATACATTTGTGCAAATATAGCATGACACTACAAATTTATGTTTTTTTTTTTTACATATATTTGTGTAGCTTAGCTACTAGTTAATGAACTGCTCAAGGGTTGAGTTTGAGAATTAATTATTTAAGTGAATTGATGATAGAATTAGTTGATAGCTTTATGTATCTTCAATTCTAAGAGAGGTCGGACAAGGTACAAAATTTTTATATTGTTATTTTTAAACATTGCCCTGTCAAAAGTGAAATTCTAACATTGTTAATGTGTCTAAATTTCTTGTTAAGATTAAAAGAAAAAATGTAAAAAAAATTTAGATGGTGATGCTGGCGCTCCAAAAAAATTACAAATTATTTTATTAAATTAAAATGACAAAATAAACTTCAATCAAACTTTCTTATACTACGTCTCTCTTTTCTTCCTTTCTCCTTGACTTTTCTCTTCTCCGCCAAACCCTAATGTTGTTTTCTTTATTCAACTATGAGTTTTTGATTCATGAACAAGAGATGTGGAAGATATTGTACATGTCGATACAACCATTTATTCTCTCTAAAGTAAGCCTAAAAGGAGTGTTTTTTCTTTTTTTTTTTTTTTTTTTTTTTTGTCCCGATTCTAGGGACGATGCCAATTTGATAACACCCTTTAATCTTTTTATTGTTATGTGATCGACTTTATATTTGTAGTTAAAGTAGATTTTGCATTTAAATTTATAATCTGCTGCTTAAATTTAAAAAAAAAAAATAGAGAATTGAGGAAGAATCCGAAATTACCAAGTGGGAGGGGAAAAAAAGTTGAACAGGTTTGCTACAAGAATTGTAACAGTGAGTTTCATATATCTACCTTATTAAAGGAGTGAAAGCATTATCAAACCTAAAAAACATAATCCGCAATCACTCAGTTGTAAAAAATTCTTTTATTGATATTTTTAGTAAAAAAAAAACCCCTCAAGTATAATGAAGGGTCATTTTAACTGACTTCAGTTTGAGTTTGAGTGACTGTGTGAGAAATTTTTTTGGACCAAATTACACCTTAATAGAATATTCTTTAAAAAAAAATTATTTATTTTTTTCTTTCTCAAGAAAGCCTTCTCAAAATTCAGACCATTTATAATCAACCTTTTTGAAAGTTTGGTACTGTCTAAAGGACTTTAGATAAATGAAAAAGCCTCAAAATTGTACAAAATTCACACTGCACATACATATTGATTATTGAATACGATGGGCCTTGCCACTATGTCTGCAACTTGAAGCACCAACAATTTTTTGGAAAACAAGAACATAGTAGCTCTAAACTATCAATCCAAGATAGATTTAATACAAAGATAATGCATTCAAGAAAGTCTGGGTGGTGCTTTCTCTCTCTAGATGTGTTCTCGATGGGGGTTCGTTTGACGAAATCATGTCGCCGACAAATACCGACTCCTACGTGGATGTCTCCATGGCCACTAAAATCACAGTATTATTTTCCACCAAAACAATCGGTGACAGAAATTCGCCGGAAGCAGAAGAGATTGACGGAGTCAAGACGTCAGCCACGGATCCTAAACATGTTGGGTTAGAATCCGATTACAGATCCGACAATATTACAGATCTATGAATAAATGTACACACTTCATGCATCTACGTGTATATATGCAAAACTTTATTGGTTTTGTACCAATTGATATGTGCTTTATCACCAAGCATAACATCATTTGCACATCTATATCTATCAATAAATCTACACAACTGCATCTATATATATATATATATATATATATATATATATTGTCATCTTGGAAGCAAATGTGAAGTTTACATAGATTGGTTTTTGTGCCAATTGATATGTGATTATCCCAACATAAAATTCATTAGATGTACATCTATATATATATATATATATATATATATTGTCATCTTGGAAGCAAATGTGAAGTTTACATAGATTGGTTTTTGTGCCAATTGATATGTGATTATCCCAACATAAAATTCATTAGATGTACATCTATATATATATATATATATATTGTCATCTTGGAAGCAAATGTGAAGTTTACATAGATTGGTTTTTGTGCCAATTGATATGTGATTATCCCAACATAAAATTCATTAGATGTACATCTATATATATATATATATATATATATATATATATATATCAAAAAATCTACACATGGAATACATATAAATATATAATGCTTGAAGCCAAAAAAATAAAAATAAAAAATGAAATTTAGTTAAGATTAATTTGGTTTTGTGGCAATTAATGACAGGGTGATCAAGCTTCCATTATTGGAGGAGCCATAGAGTTTGTTAGAGAATTGGGTTTTGCAAGAGGAAGGTGAATGACACTAAGGTGGACGATCGACTTGGTGGTGTAAGTGGTTCATAGTCCAAGCAAGAAAAAGAGAGGGCACTCAACAAAAAAAGAAAAAAGCAAAAAGTCGACGGTGGTGGGTACTTTAGTAATAATATTTTGATATTAAGGGTAATTTAGTCCGAAAAATTTATTCACTCAATCACTCAAACGGAAGTTAGTTAAAATGACTCCCTCATGATACATGAGAGGATTTTCTGTTAAAAATATTCATATGAGTTACTTGCAACAGAGTGATAGAAGGGAATTATTAGCAATTCACCCAAAACAATATTATTGGGATAATTAGTCTATTTTAAATTGGATTTGCATAGTTTAATTTTGTTTAGTGTAATAGCAAAAAATTGGATTAACAAACATAAAAACTTTCTAATTACCTAATAAAAAAATTCAAATATTAGACTGTATTGGTCCGCAGATACTATCTAGGGCTGCAAATGAGTCGAGCCGAACTTTACCATGTTCGGGCTCGACTCGCCTGTGCCAGGAGTGGGCTCGGGTGAGCCTGGTCAAACCTGGCTCAAGCTTGGCTCGCCAGAACTTCAGCAAGCTCGGGCTCAGCTCGACTCGAGCTTGCCTTAAAAAAATAAATAAATAAAATAAAAATTTAAAATTAAAGAAAAGCTTTAGATCTGATAAGCTTTAGATCTGTAGCAATTGTTTTCAACTAATCATTTGGAATCTATGAATCCATCACTACATTTCTTTAACTGAATGCCATTCTACGCTATCTTCCTCTAATTCTATGCATTAACATGCACTAAAATGATATTGAGATCTCATAAGAGAAAAGAAACCCAAGAAAGAGATTTGAGAGACAAAATCTGTGGATATCGTCACTGATGAGCGAGAGGAAGATGTGTTGAATTGAAAGGGATTAGAGAGTCGGCCAGTAAGAGAGGAAGAAGGATGCGTGAAGGTCACTTGTCCAGTAAGGCAAGAAAGAAGGATATCTATTGCGGCTGGATGTGGAAACTCAAATAGTCAAATGTAATCTACGGTTGGATACATATATATATATATATATGTATATGTATGTATGTATATGTGTATATATATATACGTGTGTGATGATAGGGTAAACAGATTAGTGGAGTTGGGTTTAAGTTAAAAGAATTTGGACTTAATGAAGAATAAAGTTGGGCTTATGAACGGACAGTTTGGACTAAATTTATATTATATGGGCTAATAAAATTGTATAGAAATTTTTTTAAAAATAAATAAATAAATCTTTTGGTAAACGAGCCTGTTCACAAGCCTAACGAGCCGAGCTTGGCATTGCTCAAGCTCGGCTCGTTTAGTAAAGAGCCCAAAAAATGTGTTTAAGCTCGACTCGTTTACTAAAGAACGAGCCGAACCGTTCATTTGCAAGCCTAATTCTATCTCCCCCAAAAAAATATATATATATATATTTGCTTATAAAGGTCCCAATTTGTTCTACCATAACACAAGAGTCAAGAGAGTTAGATGATAGATACAAAATTTAAAAGTAGTGGTACTGATTAAATAATTCTAGAAGGTTAGGGATGTTTCTGGTAAATAAATTCTAGAACATACCGTCCTCTTCAGCAATTAACCGTCATTTATTCAAGTGGCGTCAGTAAGAACTCTCTAGAACTATCGAGATATCACCTTATCACGCTATATAACCACTTGTCGTTAACAGATTCGGTGC